GTCGGGTGCATGGGACAGTAGTTCTCATTATTTTCTGTAGATCCGAACTTGGGCTTGGGGATGACGTGTTTAGTTTTGTTGTTATTAGGGTAAAAGTCTGTGGAGAGATATATTAATAGTGCGAACGAGATACAGGTATCCACTTCCATCTCTGTAGCAAAATAGTTGTTATAGTGTTTAGTCCTTCATGTGAGCATTTCAGTGCACTGATTGCCTTAAAAACATTTTTCACATTGAGGCCTACATTGGTGATCTTGCAGAAAAGTATTGAGATACGTTTGAGTTTCCAAGGTTTATGTTTTTGAGTGAGGCTAATATGTGTGCGTTATGTATTTCATTCGTAAATGTGGCATCCTCGTATATTTGGTTGTCTCTAAAAAATTGGAGTAAAGGCGTTAGAGTAGTAAACGAAATACAATTTAATCAAGTAACTTCAATTGGAAAATTAAAACGAATGAATGAATGATGGCACAAGAATATATTTCGTTCAGTAATTACGAGTTTTGATCTCGATTTTAATGAAGGTTGTCTGGCAACAATGTCAACTACAGTTGTCCAAACAACAGTAGCAAGCGTAAGTAAGTCGGATATTCTCGCTGACCTTGAAATTCAGTCACGAACTGTAAACACGTGGTACAACAATAGTTATGACCAGAGCCACAAATGTGAAGATATCGGCCCAAAACATAGAACGCTCATACATCCGAACAAGACCGACAATGTAAACATTCCAACTCCGTTTACCCAACAGCGATTTTGCACGGTCATAAACGTTTCAGTTTCACTCTAAGTCCCAATGTTAAGAATTTGGATCCACAGTCTTTACAAATACTGATATACATTTTTTCAGCCGCAACCCAGTCTTGTCTTGTTGAGCATATATGAATGCTTTGCCTTTACTTGGCTACGTAGAAGGCGATAACTGAGGGATATTTTTTCACTGAAGTGTTTATTTGGTCCTAAAACATAAAGGGGTAATAGCGTCTTTTTACTCTCTTGGACTCCTCAGCTGGTTCACTGATGTCCAATAGTGTGGCCAGTCGTCTGAAAGCTCAATCATTTAAGGCTACTTTAGTTCTCTAATAGAGATCGTTCGAGTCCTTGAAATTGTTAGGCTTGTGATTTTTCAGCACCCGTAAAATATCTGCCCTCTCAATCACAGGTTCCATATTACCACTTCTGCCTCACAACTACTGACTGAACCTTGGTTGTCGTCGGTTGAGAATAAGTTGTTAAAATGCCTTCAGAAAGATCCATCCCTAAAATCACTTACGACAGCAGTTGTGAAATAAATTAGAAAGCTGACAACGAGTCGATTAAGCATTCCAATGGAAGTCGCTTACAGGAGCAGGCTGATGAAACAACTTTAGTGGTATTGGTTCGCAACCACACGATCATCAAAGCTGGACATATAATCACCGAGGCACATCAGAAATGGGGAAGGTGAAATCAATTGATCGGAATGGCATGGCTAAGCCTTACGTGGGTGATCATTCTGTGTAACTCACTCTTTTACACAATAAATATATTATTTTATCCCCCAGCCGAAATGTGTTCTTTAGAGCTAGTAAACATATTGGTGATTGTCCCGTACGATGAGGCAGTACAAACAATGATGCGACTCCCACGTAAGATCTTGTAGATCGGGTAGTCACATCATGACAAATCTACGATTTTGGAATTAGGTCTTTTTTTAATATGATGACGTAAAATAACTAACACCGAGCTAGACCGTGTGTAACGACCGAACTGCCAATATTCGGTTTGAACGCAGGACTGACGAACCAAAATTTATTCAGTTAGACCAGACTACGTTCTTCTGTATAGTGTACAAAGCGTTTTTGAGTTACTCCTATTAAATCATATTAGAACACAAACTCTGTGCTCAATTTAAACGGTTCTAATCTAGGAAATAGAACAAATCATATCATAAATACAAAATACTTCAAAGGGCACAGCTTGTATTATACAGTCAAAAATTCCTTTAACACAAAGTAGTGTGCTAAACAACAAATGAGACAGTTAATACAAAAGAGATGATTACCTAAGAATCAGTAATAATATTCCCAACAAGATGGGATCAAATATGTATCTGCAGGGATTCCAGCAATCTTCCCAAAAAGACAGTCAAATGTTAACAGCCACACACTGAACCACGCCGTGACCTTGGGCTTAGTCAAACACGACCTTACTGTCAATAGTCCGGCAACATACAATAGAAAATTAAGTAACAAAAAGTAAGTCACATAACAAAAGCTCAATCGAGAAAGACTGAAGAACATAAAGTGTGGTCAAAAGAGATCTGGACAAAGGTTAAAATACACGACAGGGAGAAGAAACGAGTAAATAACAGTACTGTCCAACAAAAATGATGTGGAGGGATTTTCAACGTTCTCTTTCCGTTACACCGTGACTGTACAAACTAACGGTAGAATTCAGCTGGACGTCTATTGGTATAAGCCACAATTAAAATGGAAGCATTGAATTATGAGTTAGAACATGTTTGTAATCTTGTTTTATCTATACACTATATCTCGCTCACCCAGCTAAGTAGTGAACAAACTGTATTGGTGTTGCCAGCTCCACTAGCTCCCATGGACATTGTTCATTAGCAGTGCTCACAGACAATATAACTTTTCTTCTGATCTCTCTTCTTGATGGGAATGTATTTAAGTGTAGGCCAAACGAACATACCTGGTTGGGTGTTTAGTAAAATAGGAGTCCCCTAACCATTAACTTATCAGCCTCTTTATCAAAGCCGTATACTGTACTCTTTATCTTCATTAAGCTTCTTGCAGTAATCCACGTAATTGGGAGTAAAAATTCCAATTGTTTCAGGATATTCTTGTTTCATTTTCTTACTTTCTATTCTCTTACAACCTCTGATCCTCTAATAAGGGACACGTTCAACAAGTCATGAGCAGTAATTTATTGGAGGAGTTAGATGCTACGAGGTAAGATAATAAGTTAGTAAAGTGTGTGACATCCATGGAGTACCTCCGAATATTGACTGGGCGTTTGTCGTCATCGAGTTAGCGCCCTTTTTTGGCTATGAAGACCTAGCTGACACGTTCTTGTTTGGTAGGTTGATCGAACTGACATTCCTATGGAAGTGGGTTTTAGAAGGAAGCTAATGCAGCAACCTAGGCTGATTGATTGGGAGTTGGCCGCAAGCATCTCAGCAATGCCAAAACATTGTAGCTCAAGTATTCATTTATATCCTTATTTTGTATGGGCATTATATTTCCCATTATTTCATATCGAATAGTGAAAACCTTTGTGTAAAGTGTGACCGATAAACGAACCCACCAATAATATTATGAAACGCCACCACCACATCAACTTTCTTTGACGTTGTATGACTATGTCTTGTTTATGTTCGTTATAAAACACTATTCGCTTCGTTGACATATTTTCCTATACTCTAGTTATTGTTCGAAACTCTGTGCTCGACAGTCTAAAGAATAGCTTAGAATTACACCTGTAGGAAATTACTTCCTACACTTTGTGTGCTTGAAAATGATAACCCTGTCCTCCAACTGCTCAACCACACGACTTAATTAAAGACATATTCACGACTTGTCTGGTTTCTTCTCTCGATAAGAGGAAAGGTACCCATCAGCACGGAAAGCACTTTGGTTAAGTGACTGAAGTCACCATACAGTTTTGGTGCTCTTACAAAGTTACCTATCCTGACCCATCAATAATGCCTCTAATGATCCATAGGAATATAAGGTCACAGCTTGTAGAAACTCTCAAATTTAAGTGTATTCACTCCCAACTGTCAGTTGCACTTCGCAACGCAACCTCCGTAAAGCGCGCCAACTGTCGTATTGATAATACGGATTTCATTAATCTTATTTGTATTCATATGTGAGAAGTATTATCTCAATTACTTTTATGATCGATATACTTATAAAATATCAAACTAACTGAGTAACCCATCATAGTGAAGACAGTATCTTTTGTAACAATTTAATCTTGCCTCATGTAACAGACTGCTATTTGAGAATTATTTATTATTAAATGTGTTCTAAAAAATCTCCATTTAAGTTAAATGTGCCGGCTAGTTGCCTCATATATTGTGAGAGTTGTGACGATTTCCTATCTCCGAAATCGCGTGCTGTTAATAGCTGTTATAGTCTTTTTCTTTTAAGCTATTATGCATCAGATGACTGCTGCATTGAGTTTACCATACACGTTTTGTTCCGGTGCTTGCAAACTGTGGTCGAAACAAGATCTCTAACCAGAAGTTATCTTTTGCCTTTTCTAATCGTTTTGTACTCGAATGACTGAGTGTTGCTTCATTGAGGATACTCGGCCCCCTTTAGGCCATGGAGATAAGTTTGGCCATATTTCTCCTTTTGAGTACAATGGACTATATGGCCACATCCAGCGGGTGTTTGCTTTGTTGCGGGAGTTGAATATATTGATGGATTCCAATAATTTCAGTTCAATATGGAATTTTCATTCCGTGCTATACCATGAATAATATACAAGTTAATATCAAGAGTTTTTGAAGCTCATCTAATTTGGCAAAGGTTCCTCTCTTCTTGACTCTCCTTTATGAAGAAAGATCGAGTTTCAGAATAATTTAGGTAGTTGCTTATTAGAGCCCTAACAGGCATCAGGGGTTTTCATTCATCCGACCCTAAAATCCCTTTAGAGTAACTTGTAGATGGAGACAGATAGTACCGTCTGGTCCTGTCTCACTTCTTAGCGATTTCCTAATGATTTATGCCGCAAAAAACTGCAAAGGCTTCCTAGATGCTTATCAGGCCATGCAAGTATCTCATATTGATGTTGGGATACTCGAGCTCCTTCAAATACATTGTGTCCACTGCTAATCCCACCCATTAGCTGGACTCATTGCTACAATTATCGCCAAAAATATAAAGACTAAACGTCCGTTTCTAGGTATGGCCACAAATAAATTAGCTGGTTCGTATCGGTTAATGACAAAGACATTGGATGATGAAAATTGTTTGTTCAGTCCATTTCATGCATACTAGCCGCCACGCATTGTGATTTTGGTGTTGACGATGACTGGTTTGTTTTATGAATGTTTTTTATTATAATTGTTTCACATAGTTAAGTTTTTAGATATCGTCAAGCCGTTTTGTGCAATCCTACCGGAGATCTCCCGTCCTGAACGGAAGATTCAGTTTCGAGAACGGGTGTTATGGACGGGAATAACTCTAATGATATTTCTGTTTTGTTGCCAAATACCACTTTTTGGCATAATGTCGTCTGAATCTGCCGACCCTCTCTACTGGCTTCGAGTGATTTCTGCGTCAAACAAAGGAACACTTATGGAACTTGGGATATCTCCAATCATAACATCTGGTCTAATTATGCAGCTTCTTGCTGGGATACAAGTGCTCTCTGTTGGTGATGCACCGAAAGACAGAGCTTTATTTAATGGAGCTCAGAAATGTAAGATGTCATTAATTTCTGACCCTTCAGTATTCGGTATGGTTATAACTGTTGGTCAAGCTTCTGTGTATGTTATGTCCGGAATCTATGGTGCACCAAGCGAACTAGGTGCAGGAATTTGTCTGTTGATAATCTTCCAGGTTTGGTGTTGTTTTTTTAATCACTCTCGTTTAAGCTAACGTTTGCAGGTCTTTTGGTTTTGATGTTGGATGAACTTCTCCAGAAAGGTTATGGTTTGGGCTCTGGTATATCTTTGTTTATTGCAACTAATATTTGTGAAACTATTGTGTGGAGAGCAATAAGCCCTACTACGATTAACACTGGACGAGGTAATGTCAAGTTTTACGTTTATTTTTCCAGGTACGGAGTTCGAGGGTGCTATAATATCGCTTTTCCATCTACTGGCCACTCGTACAGATAAAGTTCGTGCATTAAGGGAAGCGTTTTATCGTCAAAATCTGCCAAATCTAATGAACATACTTGCAACTATTCTTGTCTTTGCTGTCGTCATTTACTTCCAAGTAAGTTAACTACAAGTCTCGAATTCTTCAGAGCTTCAGAGTAGATATTGCAGTCAAGTCAATCCGATATCGTGGGCAATCAACTTCATATCCAATCAAACTTTTCTACACCAGTAATGCCCCGATCATGCTTCAAAGTGCACTTGTCTCTAATCTTTATGTAATGTCACAAGTAAGTAGCATTGCATTTTCAAAAGATTTTTGTAGATGTTAGCTAGCAAGTTTCGGGGTAACTTCATTATCAATCTTTTGGGTGTTTGGTCGGATGGTGAAGGTGGTTCTCGATCTGTACCTATCGGAGGATTGTGTTACTACATGACACCTCCAGATTCCTTAGGAGATATGCTAGTGGACCCCATACACGGCATTTTGTATATTGCTTTCATGCTTGGAAGCTGTGCGTTTTTCAGTAAAATATGGATCGATGTCTCAAATTCCAGTGCTAAAGATGTAGTTAAACAGCTCAAAGAACAACAAACTGTCGTTCCAGGACATCGGGAGAATTCAATGGTGCATGAGTTGAATCGTTACATTCCAACAGCAGCCGCACTTGGTGGTCTATGTATCGGCGCTCTTTCAGTATTGGCAGACTTCCTAGGTAAGATGGTAATTTTAGTTTCTTGAGTTGCATTTTAATAATTACTTCAATAATCAAGAGTGACCGTCAGTTGAAGAATGCCTTCGTTACATCTTTATGTGAATCACTAAGTGGACCAATGACAATCTGAGTAAAACTTAATTTGCGGCCATTGGTTTATAGGTTTAGACAGCGAGTAGCTTTAATTGCATATAGTTCAGTGGCATTTCATTTCAGCCATATATAAATCTAGTTACTCTGAAGGGGGGCGTCAAAGTATCCAAGGTACATGTCTTCATTTCACAAGAAAGCAGTCGGCTGTTTACGGTTAAATAGCTTCGAGTCAGTGAAAGTAATCAGAAAAGATTTATTCTCGCATAAACTTCAAAAATCGTTATTCTATGCATCCTGCTCCATATTTCCGCGTTGGTTTTTCTACATTCTGTTCTCAGACAATTTCGGTACACTCATTTTTACTATTTGTCTCTTTGGTTCTGTTTCTGTGTGCTAATATGAAGCATGGCAACAATATAGTTCTTGTCAGGTCCTGAATTACTTTCGTTTACTTGTCCACTCGTGATTCTTTACTATCTCTACTCTGCATAGCAATCTTTCCTGTAGGTGTGTTACTTACTTGAATTTCAGACCAAACACCCAACAAGTTACTATATCTTCCGTTTAATACATACCTTTTACGTAAATTCCTTATATTCATTCATGTGTGATATTACTCGAAAAGATTTCCATATAGTACATCTCGTTGGCGTAACCTAGTAGAGCTCTCGGATATCGTCTATTGGAAATCTGTCATAATCCTTTAAATTGTCCATTTATAAACGGTAGATGCTCATTCTTATTTTCGTTTGTATAATTTATGAAAATGTGTATGTACAGTGGGACGGTCATTTATAATTACACATACTAAGATGTGACTTGATGTTAATCGTCTTTTCAAGTACTGTATACTTAATACAGTAAGATATTCTCAAAATATTTACCAACTGTCTAAATGCTGATTGTAAGAGTGCGGTTTGAACTAATGATCACGTTTTAAAGTATTCTCCGAATAACCCAGTTACTAAAATGGTAGAATCATCGTTATTGTAATTTATTAATCGAGTATACGTTCGAATACTCACCATTGAGTCCAGACCGAAGTAAGCAGAGCAGGATTCGAATCCACAACCCAATAGGTGATATCAATGTTTTAACCATAAAGGTATTACTTCAGATCATTTATTTATCTTAGAGGGTTAAAGACACAAGATCCTAGCAACTGATCTTGGGTGTCTTTGAAACACTATCAGTCAACTACAACGTAGGACCATGCACATATATGCATCAGTCCAAGTTGCCACACCTCATTAGTACAAGATGAGCACCAAATTCATAGTTGTTACTTCAAGTGTGGTAATATGTAAAAAAGATTCTGTATACGAATATAATACAGGAAGAAAGAATTAGTTCGTATAAAGAAAGGTATAAAGCATTTTCAGTTTTCAAGGAAAGACAAGGTGTATACAGCTACGCCATTGTGATCGATTTTGAGCCATATCACCCAGAGACTCCAACCATTGATTACGATGGTCACGCGGGCCCCGACCAAGTAGTTCGCATCTACCAACATAGCTAAAACCAGAAGTCAGTGACTTTATGGACTGGTGTGACGTTTTGGTTTTGCCGCCCTCAACTTTCTTCCAACCATTTCCAACACTAGTCAGCATTGCGCGTCGTGGTAATCGGTGTTCGGGCATACGTAACATGGCCCAACCATCTTAGTTGATGAAGATTTACAATCTCAACTGATTTACCATCATTTCCTAATACCCTGCGTCTAACCTCACTATTACTTACCTGGTGATCCCAGCAGATGTGAGTAATATTTCTAAGACATCTGTGATCAAATACTAGTAACTTACGAGTATCTTCTACTCTTAATGACCATGTTTCGCAGCCGTAAGGAAAACAGAACGAACTGCTGCACAGTATACACGTTCCTTAATTGATAGACGGATATCTCGCCTTTGCCATAGGTGACGTAAGTTTGCAAAAGCCAAAGGTGCTTTGTAACACTGATTTATTATAGGACCACTACAGACATTTTGAGATTAGGCATAGTGGTAAATTGTTCCGAAGTTATGGGTATCCATCAAGTAAGCTGGTAGGGCTGTTTCGTGAGCCCAGTCATCACCTGATTCATGCTACTAATCAAGCACAAGAAGTAGGCTCATACTTTTCACGCCATTATTACATAGGTTTCCTTGGTTTACTACCACTGTCAGGTTTATTATCTTCACATATCTTTCTTGTTAATTCTTTTTTTCTCATGTGGATTGTGACAGCTTGTTCCAACACATTTGTACTCGATTCTACTCGTTCGTTTTACCCAAAACAGTCGTTTCAAACAACGCACTTTCCTAAGAGCAGGCTCATTGTTAGTCTCATATGACCCTTTACTTAAGTCCTAAAATCTTGATAATGAATAATGTAAAAGCTTATAATTGTCATCAGCTGTGAAAATACAGCTCTTGTTATTACTACTTTTTATATAAGCCGGCCAAATATTGAGTAAAAAGCCCATTAATACAATCTGTCCCCACCGGAGCGTTCGTGGAATCCCACTAGCGGGATGATTACTTAGTGATTCAAGTTTTCGACCTTCGGTCACTAAACTCTAGGTTCAAACCCCACTCCACTTCAGTTTGGGGACAGACCAATGTAATTAACCCTCACACTTCGGATGTAGATCCTACCCAAGTAAGCACCTGACAAGTTGGTTAATTGATTAATTCTTTATACTAGATATGACAAATATTTCATGCAAATTGTGTGTACTAAAAACTTAACAACTCCAGTGGTTTTATTGATATAGTTTATTCACAAATTAACTTATTTGTTCCAGGTGCTATTGGAAGCGGAACAGGTATTCTCATGGCTGTCACAACAATCTACCAATACTATGAAGTATTTGTTCGAGAGCAAAGTGAGATGGGTGGTTCTATGAGCTCTTTGTGGTTATAAGGAAATATCACAAGTCTTTCTTATGTATTCAAATCTGTTTTCGTTATGTGTTCCAGTCTGCTACATGTAAAATGATTGAGTGGTTAAAGACATTGTATACTAAAAGGCTTTAAAAAGTCAACATATTTTGATTGTATATTTTAGCATTTCTTTAAACCAGTAGTTATTGGTCATCATTCACATAATAATAAATGTTTGGTTTTTTCTGTGCAGTATTTATGTCCTAATATCACTCCAACATGTACATTTTGATCATTACCTACTGCTTTGCACCTTTAATTTGTGATCATTAAACGTTTCATGCTTTCTTTAGTTCTTTTTATTTCAAAATATAAAAATAAGGTGTTTTTTACAGTCAATGTAGAACTAGTCATTAATTTATACGAATATTCGTTAAGATTAGAACGAATAGTTTGACAGTAATTGAGCGCCGAGTATAGAGAAGTCATTATATGTGAAAATTATATTTGAAATATTTTCAGCGATTGAAATTTAACTAATTCCAACGTTTCGTCCAGACAAGTTAACTGGACGAAACGTTGGAATTAGTTAAATTTCAATCGCTGAAAATATTTCAAATATAATTTTCACATATAATGACTAGTCATTAATGTTTATTAGGTTTTAATTATAATACGAACTGCACTATTGATTATGTAGTGTTGCACGAAGTAGCAGTTGAAAAATGTAAATGTCGTTGGATTTCTGTGTATAACGTTATTGATTTCGTCAATAGACTCGGTTACTCATGTACTCACCACACCACAACCGATCCAGACTAATAAGTACCGATCGCACCATATGTGTATTCGACTATTGACATTCTCACATAAGTTGACGATTTTGCAAGTAGCCTACCGTATAATTATAATTCTGTCACTACATTTGTGTCGTTGTGATGATAGACTATCACCGGGCAATCTTAGTGGATTTTCCTTATTAAACTGTTAGTTTACTGTCGGTCGTGAGAAATCCTATTTAGTAGGGAAAATGGTCAGTCAGCTACAACGTAGGACCAGGCACATATATGCATCGGTCCAAGTTGCCATACCTCATTAACACATCAAGATGGACACCAGATTCATAAAAGTAGTTAATTCAATGGTAGTAATATATAAAAGAAGGATTGCAATAAGGATATGGTACAGGAAGAAAGAATTAGTACGTAGAAAGAAAGATATGAAGCGATCTTAATCTCTTAGTTTAAGGGAAGACAGGATGCATACACCGACGCCATTGTGATCGATTCTGAGCTGTGTCACCAAGAGTTTCCAACCATTGGTTACGAAAGTCACGCGGACCCCAACCAAGTAGTCTGCATCTACCAACATGGCTCAGACTAGAAGTTAGTGACTTCAGGCACTGATGCCACGTTTTGGTTTGGCCGCCCCTAACTTTCTTCCAACCATCCCCTACACCGGTTAGCATTGCACGTCGTGGTAATCGGTGTTCAGGCATACGTAATACGTGACCCAACCATCTCAATCGATGAAGATTCACAACCTCATCAACTGATTTACCATCATTCCCTAATACCCCGCGTCTAACCTCACTATTACTTACCTGGTGATCCCAGCAATATTTCTAAGGCATCTGTGGTCAAATACTAGTAGCTTACGGGTGTCTTCTACTCTTAATGGTCATGTTTCGCTGCCGCAAATTAAAACAGAACGAACTGCCGCGCAGTATACTAGTCCTTTTATTGATAGACCGATATCTCGCCTCCGCCAAAGGTGACGTAAGTTGGCAAAAGCCAAACGAGCTTTTCGAATCCGTGCTGAGATTTCGTTAGACACCAACCCATTAGGGCTGATCAGACTTCCAAGATAAGTGAAGTTGCCAACGCGTTCGACTACTTCACTCCCTATCCTTAGTTCAGGTGTTGACGCAGACCAGTCCTGAAGCAACAACTTGCATTTAGAGGGAGAGAAGCGCATCCCAAACATTCTGGCATTGTTGCTCAGTGCTACCAGAAGACTCTGCATTTTGTCAGCGTCTTCACCAAACAGGACTATGTCATCTGAGTATTCTAAGTCGATAAGTGGACCACCTGGAAGGAGATCAATACCCGAGAAATCAGTAGACGAGAATGTTATTTCCATCAATAGGTCTATGATGAAGTTAAACGAAAATGGAGAAAGTGGACAGCCTTGAGGTTGCAGAAGCAGATGACAGTTCGCCATAAGCTAGGGAAAATGGTGTATTGGATTAATGAACACTGGCCTGCTGAATCATAATTAGTTGTGGTGTCTCAAGGATGTGATAACGTTTTGAAACGTATCATAGATAGTGAGATTTCATTAAAGGACGGCCTGTGTCAGTTGTGGAATATACCCTCAGAGCACCGTATATTACTAACCAAATAGTTATGTTGTCAGGATATTTCTTAAAAGTATTCAGAGTGAGATAATACCTATTACAAGTAACTAACCGCATACTGGGCAGGTATGAACCTGTTACAATTTTTTGAAACAACCCTTTATCGCTCGATCACAGGCTTGTGAGTCATATGTACCAGACAACTATTACGCCCCAACAGTAGATATTATCTGTGGACAGCCATTATTGCCGGGCCAAGGTCAAAGATCACCGGCAGTTGCATGGCTGCTAAATTCGTCGGAAAATATCAGTGTTCAAAATAATGTCACGGACTCAAGCAACTTACGGTCCATATCAACTGCAAGTATCTTCTACAAGTAGGGAGGGAAATGATATACAAAGTGGTATTTTTATGGGAACTGCTATATAAGGCTTTTTCACTCTCCACATTAAAATAGCTCACATCTGTATAAATTTTGCGATGTCTATGGGGACGGTGAATGACCCACGACAGGATCGACCAAGGCACAAATCCACCAGAAACATCTCTCTAAACTATAGATTTTCACCGTGTCAAAGGCAAGCGTATCACATAGAAGCAAAGTATTATAAATTAAAGTGTTGGTGAAATAAAGATAAAAAGGATATCTGGACATAGACATCAGAGAGATAGTTTACGACTCAGTGAGTTATGTTTTCCTGTCCAGTTTTTGAAGCCAACCACTAATAGTAACTTTTAGTCTTCATGACTCAAACACCAGAAATATCATTCGGTGGAAATACATACATGAAGAATGCTCGTCCTGTCCTTCCTTTTTGTCAAGAAGCTGCATTGCAAATCCCTAGTTAAAGTTACTCTTCCCCATACTTTGGTCAATCCTAGTCTTCCGGAGGCAACAGTTAGTCAGACAACCGCCGCTTTCTCAGGAAACCTACTTCAAATTACACTATCACTGACAAACCTTTCTGCTTCTTTAACTACTAGATCACAAGTTCGAGCCCTGAGCCGTCACTTGGAATATACCTTAAAATTAACCACGCGGATCTGTTGAGTAAATGGGTAACATGACCACCTCTTAAACTTGTACAGTGAGGCTTACGATAGAGGGAACTTCCATCATTGAAACTCTTTTAAGAAATCTATGGCCATATGTATGTCAAAACATAAGTCAAACACTTCAACGATACCTAAATTAATCTGAGTGTCAGAACTAAGGCACTACACCTTTTGTCGGAAAATAACGTCTTGAAAGTATCGGTGTCGTGTTTGCAGAGCATTATTTACATTCCATCAAGCGACTGTCAAAGCACTTAAAGGTCGGGCTCATTTGGGGATAACCTCCAAATTTCCTGTCCCATGCACGGTTTATGGAGACGAATTACGGATAAAGGCTCTTAACACACTTGGACCAAAAGCTTTGCTCCCGATTGAGGGGAAACGGGGCCCTAACTGAAGTGATGTACCGCACAGAAAAACCTAGCAATAACTGTAAGCTGACTTTGGTTAGCCTAAAGGGATTTTGAGCATCTTCATAAAGATGTTATTGGGGTTTTACACCCCGCCCATGTTATGCCTCAACCAGCTGATAGTCTTGAACATATATTCGGAAATAAGTTGGTGACAAAACTGGTTACCTACTCATAAGGAAGTAAAATGCTCACCCACCGTTGTCTTATCACTTGATGCTAAGGGACCATATCCACATTCTACACATTGAATGGGGACATGTCTCAGAAGAGCACCACAAAGACTAACGGCTATCTTCATTCATTAATCTGATTTCTAGTGATATAAATGCAGCGTAAGCTAATCAGCTGGTATGAGAGACGTACTCGGTGTAGTAAATCCAAACCTAGAATTACGTCGTAAAGGCAAAACTACATCATGGGCATGATACTTGACTGCATCAAATAGTAAATTGATGGGTGATATTCCTGTCGACTTATTCTTGATTACCAATGAAACTGATTGCTCAGTTCAGCTGGTACGGTTACAAAACCTTAATGTTCACCAAGAAAATGACAAATAAACGACTAACTAGTGTTGTGATTTAAGGTGTTCTTGCTACCGCCTTGTTTCGCGATGTAGTCAGGACACATAAGACGTCAAGTTGTTGGAAATAGTATAACTTAAGTAGGTGATTGTCTAGGATGTATCGAACGGTAATAGCTACTAAAGTAAATGTTTGACTGATACCTTAAACCACTAAAATATTGTCCACTTAATCAATTACTGTGAACGTCATCATACCTACGAACACATCAAGAAATATATCGATATCTTCAAACTAAAATGCTTGTCTCATCCAATTTTAGGTGAAGCACTTAGTATTATTGAGGTAGTGAAGTTCCAAAAAACGTTAGATAATCAAATCAAACCATAATGTATTCAATATGTCAGTTATTACAAACGGCGACCTCGACGGCCTCCTTTGCGTCGCGTGCTATCTGTTGGAATGGGTGTGACATCTTCTATGCGGCCAATGCGCATTCCCGAACGTGCGAGGGCTCGTAGAGCAGACTGTGCAGCAGGACTTGGGGTGCGGACCCTAAGGTCATTAAAAAACAACGAACTGAAAGCCTACTTTGTTCCACCGGTTGCTCGGATACGGATATGTAGGGCGTTTATACCCAATGTTTTGCATTTTTCTGCGACATCTTGAGCTGCAAGCATAGCAGCATATGGACTAGATTCATCGCGATCAGCTTTAACTTTCATGCCACCCGTGACACGAACGATGGTTTCAGCACCCGTCGCATCCGTTACGTGAACAAATGTATCGTTGAATGATGCATAGATGTGGCAAACTCCGAATACGAATTCGCCTTCTGCAACTTGAGGACCCAAAGAAACTTGCTCTTCGACTACCTTCCTAGCTCCTTTACGCTTTGCCGCCATCACGCTTACAAACGAATAGTGCTCGAGTAGCGTCGATCACGAGAAGGTCCAACAAAATATTCACTGTCCAAAAGATTTATGAATTATTAC